GACACAGTTCTCTACCAGTTTTGACCTTTGAACAAGAAGTCTAACCAAATTGTAGCACCTTACAATTGCTGTAACAGTAGAAGCCAATAGCACAACATCCCTATCAAAATCAGGAATAATCTTGATATTTGCACCTTAATTGTTCCCATTGTAAAATTAAGATAAACGTTAAAAAGAGAAAAATTATTTTCCAAAGCCCTGAAGCTTAAAGAGAAAGAACATTTATGTTAATCTAGCATGTAGTTGTTATGTGGCAAACTAAAAGAATCATGGATACAAAGGGATAAATGTTTAGGGTAGTTATACATCTGCACAAAGAAAAATATGGAGGCTCATTCATCCTATAAGACTCTAAAAGACACTACTCAAGTATAGAATTAAAATGATTGTCTTATGGTTTCTATTACAGTGAAGAAACATCAGCACCAAAAGTTTGGGAGGAGACAGTTTATTCCGTTTACACTTCCACACCACTGTTCATCATCAAAGGAAGTTAGAACAGGAACTCAAGCAAGGCAGGAACTTGGAGACAGGATCTGATACAGAGGTTATGGAGGGGTGCTGCTTCCTGGCTTGCTTCACATGGTTTGCTCAGCCTGCTTTTTTATAGAGCACAAGACCACCAAGCCAGGGATGGCACCACCCACAATGGCCTGGGCCCTCCCTCATTGTTCACTAAATAAAAAAAACTCCTTACAGCTAGATCTTATGCAGGCATTTGCTCAAATGAGACTCCTTCCCCTTTGTTGACCCTAGTTTGGGTCAAGTTGACATAAAACCAACCAATATAATGCTATCTATGTAAGGCTCTTTATATTTGAATTTAAATTAAAAATTCAGTAAAATTTAAAACTCCATTCCCTTGGGAGATATAAGCAAGAGAATCAGGAGTTCAAGGTCATCCTCAGGTATGTAGCCAGCCTGAGCTACCTGAAACTCTCATCTCAAAAGAAAAAAATCAGTTCCTCACTCACACAGCCTCATGTTATATGTTCAATAGCCACCAGCAACCAGTGACTACTATCTTGGACAGTTCAGACAGAAAGTGTTTCCATCATGGAAGCAAGAGCTTCTAGAAAGGGCTATCTTGGAGAGGATTACACCTGTTAAACTAAATGCCTTAAATATTCACATAAAAATATAAAATTAAATCAGGTGTATTCTGTAACATCATTTGCATAACTTTAAAATGTGCTCAGAAAATTGTACAACAAATAAATAATATACACTATGCAAGTGTGATAAATAAAAGATACATATTAACCTAAATTAATGGTTTTATGGTATTTAAGTGTTCTATAGGAAAAGAACATAAGAAATCTACCCATGCAGTGCAAGGATGGTTCAACATATGAAAATCCATCAATGTAATCCACCATATAAACAGACTGAGGGAAAAAATCACATGATCATCTCACTAGATGCCGAAAATGCCTTTGACAAAATCCAACACCCCTTCATGATAAAGATCTTGGAGAGAACAGGAATAACAGGAACATATCTAAACATAATGAAAGCAATATACAGCAAGCTGACAGCCAACATCAAATTAAATGGAGAGAAACT